GAGGAGTGTAGGGGTATCTGCCTTTCAGTGTGAGAAAAGGGAACCTTGGCAGTAAGGTGAATGTAGAATCTGTCCAGGGATGATCTGCTCAACAACTTAAAGTAGTTTCAAATTCCTAAGGAAATCTTACTCCTAAATGAGGCCTCTATTTGATCCCTGTGCCCTGTTAGTATGATCTGAAGGTATCTGGACTCCACCTGATCCTTCTGCTGACACCATCTGTCTTGATGAGGAGGCCAGAACTCAGAATACAGATGTGTGATTTGATTTCCCAGAGCTAAGTTAATGCCATTGTGTGATTATTAACTCTCAGCTGGCAATGACTTCCTGGAAACGTACGCCTAGCAATTCATCCCATTCTGACATTCCAGCAGCGGCACCAGTACAAGGTGCCTGTGTTCACAGCTAAGCAGTCTGTTGCTCAGTTCATTCAAAGCTGTTTCAGTGTGCAGCCTTGCAGACACACAGGGGTGGAGATTACATATCCTTACGGGCTGTTATCCCCTTAAACAAAAATACAGAGAAACATTCCTTTTCTTGCTAATGTGCTGTAGACAGGTTACAGTTTGTCCCCGAAGTGTGCAACTGAGAAATCACGTATTAAACATGATTAGATTAGTGTCATTGTGCATTTAAGCTCTTGCAGAATATTAAGTTAACTTGTGCTGATGTTGCCACACACACTCAGTGTACAAGGGTTAGCTTTCAGGATTCCCAAAATGAAGAGTCATGTTTCAGGAATGTAATAAATCAATAAATGTCTTGTTTATAAGACTTCTGCTTCTTGTGATGGATAGCAAAAGGTGCTTTAGATGCCAGCCCCGAACTGGCACACAGTGAGCATTCCGTCTTTCGATACAGCGAGATAAAACCCAGCACAGGGTGGGATGCTGGAAGCTCCAAGGAGCCTAATTGTACATTGCATCTGGACATCAGCAAGGAGAGCACTGCGTGTCTGTGTTCCATGCCTTCCCACCTCATCTCTGCTCCCCTCTGCTAACCCTCTTAACTCCTGTTTCATTCTGGGGATGCCAAAGAGGCAATTCCAAAGACTATGGGGAAAGACAAGGCTATCTTACGACGAATTATGGATTCAGCTGTTGTGCCTGTGTTCTAGTGGTCCCTTCCACCTTATCTTTTAATACAGACTATATTTGGCATGTGGAAGCCCTGTCACGTTTAACTGGCATGAACGTTTTTTTCTGGATGCTGAACACTTTGGGTTTGGTTGGTGGGATTTTCGGCTTTCGCAGCTGCCCCCTGTGCACCTTGGGACGTTTTCCTGTTGCAGAAGAGTTTGTGATCCAGTGGAAGGATACTGTTTTGAGAAGGATACAGTTATCTTAGTTATCAAAAGTGTGTAGCCTAGGTGTTTACCTTTAAGGTCTGAGAACACTAGGAAACGTCGCTGGCTGCCCCAGTTTATTACGCACACGGACCCTGTAGTAGCTTATCGGCAGTTAATGCATGCCTTGCTCCAGAGGCTCTCCCGTCTGAAAAATCTTAACTCTGACACAAGTCCAAACGTAGCTCATTCCGTGTAAGCGTATTCCATCCCAGTGGCCAGCCAGGCATCAACTGCAACCGGACAACTGCGAAGGAACATTCCCATCCAAGGCAGATGGGAAACACTGGTGTGCAGAAGGGCTGAGGGGTTTTGGAAGTACTCTGTAAGCACAAGCAGTGTGTGCCGTCTGTTTTGTTAGTAAGCACAGCCTCCAGCAATATTTAGTTTTCGTAGCATCACCTTACCATTATCAGATTCGAGGGCAAATTGCTCAGAAGTGACTGCAGTCAAGAAATGGTGCAGAAGGCTTAAGTCATCATGAAATTACACAGGGCATGTGCTGAAGGCCTGAAATGAGTTTTCAAAGACCCCTTAATTTTGGCCCACTCTAACGTGGGAGAAGTCAGACTGGGTAAACTAATTTTCTTCTACCAGAGGGCTTGCATGGGCTGGGTTTGGATGCAATGGGAAGAAAATGTGAAGTCGGTGCCTACACCAATTAGCAGTTTGTCTTACAGCTGGGTTCTCCCTCAGGGTGGTGCCTCAGGGCTTCTAGTGGAGCTGATAAACACTAGGGAATCTGAATACTGAAACTGCGTCAGGTTGCCCCAGTGGCGTTAATTCAGGAAGTACTAAAGGCCACTGTGGGAATTTCATCCCAAGACTGACAGGAAGAGTCTTAGTGGAATTACCCTTGTTTGTGGCAGCATCCAGAAGCCTCTGGGCCAGAAGAAACTTTTGGTGGAGTTTGCAGAACTGAAGAGTTTCACAGGAAACTGTGGGCTGGCAAAGCGATGCTTCCCAGGTACAGAAATTCCGGCCAGACCCCATTTGTATATACCTGGATGATCTATCAGGTGAGGTCTCCTCCTTCCCTGCCCTTGTGTGTGCCTCCTTCAGCGGTTTGCTCTGAAATCTGCTTTAAGGTAAGAGCAAGCAAAACTTGCTGCGATGCAAAACAGAGCTGGAGCTGCACCCTACCAGCTACTCCGCAGGCAACGCCCGGGGCACGGGGCCGGGGGGCTGTGGCAGACATGAGGTGATCCATGTGCCTGTGAACACCTGCCCAGGGAGGTACGGGCTGACAACCAAACTGCAGACTGTGTTTCTCTTGCCC